CCTAAAGAGTGACATATAAAAGGTGAGCCATCTTCTCACCTGAAGGCCCAGAATGCCCCGCTGGGTTTGATTTAAGGCTCTCTTTGACCCGTGAGCCCCAAAGTAATGTCCTTGTGCATGAAATCAGTACAAATTGCCAGAAGTGTGTTCTGCAGGTTGGTGTGAGAAAGTCCTCCTAGAGAGAGGTGCTGGGTGGTTGGAATCCTTGGCCCTAAGACACTTGATGAGTGCTGCGTGTCCTGGCTCCTGAGGCTGACCCCAGTTTGCAGGAAGGATGCACACAGAGCACCCCCCACAATTCCTGCTGCTCTTGGCAGTTTCTCCCGGAGTCCTCATCCTTGCACTGCCCTGAATAATTCAAGCAGAACTGGAATCACTCATTTTCATTTTCTGAGTACAAAACTCCAGTGGGAAGAAGCCATCCCCATTGGGAACTGTGATGACACAGGGGTCAGGGAATAAAGTGTAATTTTTTTGTCTCCAGATTCTGGCATGAATACTTTTCATAGTGATTCCACTTACAAACCAAAAATATTTATCCGACTCTAAGCTAGGTAGATTGCCGGCACTTCCTGGCTTCCCAAGTCACACAGCTAGGCAGTAGCGCTAGTTTCCGAGACTGGTGATCCTCCAGCAATCACGCTGAGCTGTACTGTAGATAAGCAAGGCCCAGCTTACTGTGTATCCACTCAAAGCTCATTCAGAGCCTGCCCATTAGGCACGAGCAGGTCACAGTGCCCACAGAAATGACAATGAAAAGTATTCTCAAGAGTGATGAGAATTAGAAATTTGAAAGGTGAAGGAAATATTTAAAAAATTATATTTTTTGTAAATGGCTTTCGTGGGTTTTCTGGGTGCACCATGAAATGTATCATATGCTGCTCCCCATCCCAATACCAGTGTTTTCCCCATGGATGTTTGCTAAACTAAATATTTAAAAGTACAGGAGATACTGACCAGGGAAATGACAATCTTACTTACTCAAGTACAGAGCTGCATTCTGAGACATTAAGCTGAGGCTAGCTTGGATTGTGATGAGCAAGATCCACTCTCCCTCCCATAGAAACCAAACCAGAGTCTCCATTATCACAGCTTGCAATGACTACAAATTGGCTAAGATGTGAGGCAAATTCATGTCACTCAGTTCAACCTAACTAATTGAGTGCAGAACTTGGCATGTGACAATCTCTCAAGCCCTCCTAAGAACTCACCAGATAGAGTGGGAAGACCATGCCCAGCAAGGAGGACACACTGAGAGGAGCAATAATTTTCAACAGGAAGTCAGGATGCTGGCATCTTAGCTGGAGGGAGGGAGTCTTGAAATCTAGGGCCAAAGAATCACCTGGGGAGCCCTTTTGGCCTGGTAGTGGTGAGCCCCATATGAGTCACACAAAGAGTTCAAGGAACAACATGGTGGCCCCACCCCTAAAGACTGTAATTTTAGTGGGGTTTAAGGTACAAGAATCTGAATTTGAAAAATAGACTCAGCCCCAATTCTGATGGAAGTGCTCCTCTGAACCTACACTGTTCTAAGGCCTTCACCTGCAAGTTTTCATGTGCCCGGCCCTAAGTAGGCCAGAAATACGAGGAGGTTCATTTCCTGCTTTCTCTTTGGGATCTAGGAAATTCAGAAACAGAGCTGGTGGAGACTGGGGGTGAGGGCCTCAAGGGTGAACGAGCCGGGCCTTTTCCCCATGGCATGCCCTGTACAAAGTCTGGAGCATCCCAGGCTCCTGACCTTTACTTGACGGATTGGGACTCCATGCCAAAGACTCTAGTTTAGACTGCTTCTGTCAACTTACTCTCCTTTGGATCAAGGCACCAGGTGACAAAGGTCATGTTTATTGAAGGAGCTGCTCAGGGCCATAAACTATGGGCCCTCAAGGCCAAATCAAGCATGCAGAAGTGACCTGCTGAGTTGAAATTATCTTAATTTGAATTTGAATGAGATATATATATATATCTCCATCAACCAAAGGCCTCACCATCTCTTTTGTCTTATACTTGAATGATTCACATTTTAAAATATTTTTTGCCTGCCTCCTGCAGGCATCTGAGTTTAAGAACTCTGGACTGCAGGATGAATTTGAATCTGTTTCCTCCTAGCTTCAGTGTTCTAGCTGGATCCCAAGGAATGAAGCTGAGAGTGTCTTCTTAGACAGAAGGGAAAATGCAAGAGGGGTCTCTGGCTCTGTAAGCACAGGGGACACAGGGCAAGTTTCACCCAAGGTCAGGGCTCAAAGCTCAGATGAAAAGAGAAGGAAGCCTGGCAAATCCACTGAGCTCTCCTGCCTTCAAGATCCCAGTGGCCCACAGTAGGTAAGAGAAAATCTCTCAACTCAGGGACCACGCAGCCCCATTTATTCTTGAAGTTGTTTTTCAAAGCTTTGGTGGCAATTACAACCATGCTCAGCCTTTCTGCCAATGTTGTTTATGCTGCTGCTGCTGAAATGCTTTCCCTTTTACTCTTAATTCTGCCTAATCTAGCTCCAGTTCAAATCCCAAAGATCTCTAGGAACTGGAGGTGGACGATCTCCACCTCCTCTTCTCAATGGACTAGCTACTCTACTTTGAAAAGGCTTATCCCTTCTGCCTTGGCTCATTGTTTCCATTTCTTATGTGTATAAATTTCATCTCTTCAATTCGATTGTAACTCCCACTGAGGGGGTGGATACAGCACCAATATTCTTTAGAGCCACTATACATGAAATGTGTCATTGATTCACCGATTTGTCAATGATCACAGCAGCACCAGGCAGCGGCTTCATGGAATTCCCTCACCAAGCATCCTCGGCAATTGGAAACTTCTAAGAAAGTTCTGTCAAATAAATTTGGGAGTACTGTCCTGGACAATTCCCTAGCATCATGCTTTCGGGGTCACATCACAATTTAGACCTGGGTGTTCACTCAGTTATTCAGCAGAAAAGTTCCCTTTGATTCATGCACTTGCAGAAAAGAAAATTGTTAAGGCAAGATAAATTCTTTCTTCCATGAGGCTATGAAACTGGAAGTAACTAAATGGAAAGGCCCTGCGGTAGCAAAAGATTGAATTCGCCTCTAGTCTCCAATTCCTGGAAAAAGATATGCCCACCAGAACTGTGAATGCTACCTTATTTGGAAAAGGGTCTTAGCGGTGCAATTAAGTTGAGGATCTCAAGATAGCATCATCCTGTAGGCCCTAAATCTGATGACGAAAATCTTTGTAAGAGGAGGAGACATAAACAGAATTGGACAGGTGCAGATGGAGGTGGAGAGTAGAGTTAGGCAGCCCGAAGCCAAGGAATGCCAGAAGCCACCAGAAACTGGGCTGCAGGGTTAGATTCCCCTACAGCTTTTATGGGAACTGTGGGCCTGCTGACATGTGGACTTCAAGCTTTTGGATTTTAAAACCGTGAGAGAAATATCTAGACAACCAGCATGTGGTGATTTGTTACAGCAGTCTTTGGAACCAACACAGCAACTAACAAGGGTGGTGGAGGGACATGGGAATGGGAAGGACTACTTTGGTACTGGACTGCAGAGATCCATACTTCAGCATCCTTCAGGAGAGAGGGAGGAGCCTTGTCATTATCCAGGTAACCCAGTTAGCATGTATTTCTAGAAAAGCTTCCATCATGGCATCATTTCCCCCAGATGTGCTCATGATTTGGGCTTCAGACACCTTCTCTTTGAGAGTTCTTATCTAAGGTGCACTGGAATTGTTTTCCAATAAGGGGACCAGATAATGCTGAGAGGTAGAGTCCCCCAAACAAATGAGCTGTCTCCAAGGACCTATCTCTATTCATCAAGCATTTATTGAGCAGCTACTGTGCTAAACAAATTGGTTAGTCTAGCTAATTACACAAGAGGCACTGGCTGTCACCACCCAGTCACGGGTGGCATCACCATCTAAATATGACAAACCATGTGTTTCTAATCAGGGTTCCATGAACTCTGTTTAGAGTTCCTGTTTTCATTTGCCCACTGACTCTCATTTATACCAATTCTTGCTATTTTCACCTGCCTGGTTAACAAGGAGGAATACATCTTTGTAAATGCTCCAAACACCGAGGTACACACAGCAATACTTTTTACGTGATCCCTTGAAACTGTTCACCCCAGTCTGCAATCCTCTTTCAAAGCTTACTAACAAAAGGAGCCAGAAAAATGTTTATTTTAGAGAATGGGGACATGAGCTATTTCCTCTCATAAAATGGACATCAATTGTGTAGAAAAATGTCTTTGATTTGGAGATGTATAGTGAAGTATTTCAAGGTAAAATGTCATGATGGCTACAATTTACTCCAGACCATTTTTTTTATCAGCAAAAAATAAAATATATGAAGCAAATGGAGCTAAATATTCATCATTAAATTGAGGTGATGGGAATATGGGTGTTCATGGCATCATTCTATATTTCCCATGTGTTTAAAATGATCAAAAATAAAAATAAAATGGATATGTGTGTGTCTTTCAATCATCTGTCTATCTATCTACCTACCTACATATCTTATACATAGGGTTTTTTTTTTTTCCTTTACTGATATACCTGTTCTCAGGTATGGAGACCCATGCATGGCTCAATAAAGGGATCATGTCCCCAACCTCTAAAATAAATATATATTTTTATTTATTTCTGTTCTCAATTACAAATACCCTATGGAAGAGGGAGAGCTATTCATGGCAGCTCTGTTCTTAACTGCTACTTGGGTTCTATTTATGGGCAGAACACACATCTATTGAGAAAAAGCCGACTATGTAAAAAGCTGTGTTGGCACAGAAGCAGAAAAAAAAAATGCTGTGCTGAGAAAGCACCTCGCCCAGGAAGATGGTGTTTTCCTTGTTAAATCACAGTGAGCGGCCAAGCTGCCGGAGGGGCATCATGCTCGAGCGAGTCCAGTGGATGGAGAATGAATTCCTCCAAACGGACAAACCAGCCAGGAGCAGACTCAGGTCCCACCCCCGACACCCCGACACACAAACACAGGCAGGCAGCAGGCAGGCTAAGAGAGGGGACTCACAGTTCTGAATACAGGAAGTGCAGGTTGCCCACATTGTCAATGTAGTTGGCAGGACTGAGCCAGGGCAGGACCAGCAGCAGGAGCGCCTTCATCTTCCCAGCAGGGTGCCGCTTTCTTCCTGCCACCTTCCCTCTGACAGCTGCAGGGCCGTGCCAGCCCAGCCCCTTTAAGCAAACCTGTTCATGTCCCCACAATCAGTAGATCATAACGAATCTGACTTAGAGCCTTTAGATTAAGCGACGCTATAAATCATGGGCCTGTAAGAGGATTATGTCCTCTGATTCTCAGATGAGATGATGGGAGATCGGAGGGACCCACCATGGTTGGCAAGAGGGCTTAGGCAGAGAGCAGGCAGGCTGATGCCCGGCAGAGGGCCCAGCCCCCCTGCAGGATGCGGACTGGTTCTTGGGGAGCAGCTGGTACATTGACATCACTGGCCTGGAGCTGCCAGGCTGGGGGTGAAGCCGTGTCGGAAGAGGGCAGAAGCATGGCATATTCAGAGCCCACAGTGTGAATGAGCAAAGAATCAAATCTGTCCTACAGTCTGCCAGAGCAAGACAGCGGAAGAAATCAGCATCTTTGGAACACAGCCTGGAGGGCCGCCGAGCTCAAAGTGAGTCTCAGACACTGCGACACAGGAGTGGCTCAGATACAAGCCAGCTCCCCCTCCGGAGCACTGCCTGTCTATCTAGAACTCCTATTGATGACATTTTACCAACCACCATCCTGACTACACTGATGTGTGTAAGGGGTGGGATGCTCCCTTGCCACTTTTAAAAATTGTCTCTGTAGAGGAATTGAATCTGTCCTTCTCTTTGAGGAGGACAAGGGCCTGACAGGCATGAAGTTCTGTCCAAACAACACACAGGTTGCTGTTCTCCTCCCCCTCCTCCTCTGTAACAGGATGGAGCTCTGTCACAAGCTGGATGACCATCTCATTGAAGCTCCTGAGTCCCAGTGACCTCGTCTTTGTAATGGGACTAATAGTACCTGGTCCAGCAAGGACTGGGCCCCATCATCTCCTCCAGCTGTAAGATCTGCACTTGGAGCCTATGGAAGCTGTCCTACCAGACTTCATTGCGTGTCTATGTTCTGGAATGACACAAGGCTCCCGGACTCCCCTCATTCTGTCCCATATTTAAGAAGATTAAACTCCATTTTACCACGTTGAGGCTTAAATCTTAATAGAGATGGGTCACAGGGACAATTACACTAATGACAACCGAGCAATCCTAGCAAACTACCCTTGATAGGAAGAAGACTAGAGAAGTCTACAGGATGAGACCAACTGCCATCAGAGTGTAACTAGAAATTTGACATTGAGGTTCTGCAAGGACCTGAGGCAGGAAACAAAGAATTTAAATATAATAGAGCCCTGGTTGGTGCAGATTTAACTTCTATAATTTAGATAAAAGATAAGCAACCTTGATAAAGCGTGACGTAATAATTTATGATATTGTTGAGGCCCAAATTTGAATGGTATTCCAGTAAGGCTGGAATGCAAGTGTGAGTCAGAGATGGTAAAAAACAGTAAAAAGGAAGTCAGGTTTGGTATTTGGGTATTAGAGTCAGAGAAGCTTGAGCTTCTGCCACATACTAGCTGTGTGACACTGGGTAAGTTGCTCAACCTCTCTAAACATCCGTGTCCTCCTCTATAAAAGAAAGACAATAATAACAGCACTAAGTCAGAGTATTGGTATGAAGGTGAAATGAGATTATGCCTGTAAAGAACAGAGTCCTCACTGAATATTGTTATTAATAGTTATTAATACTAGGGAATGAGCCTAGCTGGCAGCTCTTCACGTATCTCCAAAAGGCTTTAATTATTCTCATCCCTTCTTTTCCTTCTATATTATTAGGAACATGACATGTAATATAGTCTTTTCCAAAAGTGGAGTTTTACAAAGTTCTGGGGACATGCTCTTCTTGAATGTCCAGGAGCTAGTGCCTAGCTCATAACTCACAGGTGACTTGACCTGAAACACAGGCTGCGCACTTCATAATGGTTTTGGGTTGTACCTCTGGCAATCTTAGACATGTCTAAGATTGAACCATGAACGTCATGGTTCCTGACGTTCAATAGGTCCTCTACAGAAGAAGAGAGTACTCATCATCTTGCAAATCAAGGGGATAAAACTAGTTAATGAACATGGATGCAATATAAGTATTAAAGTATTGTTTTCAGTTGTTATTTTACATCACTCTGCAGCCACTGCTGATTGCCTATCCAATATCTCATCTCTCCTTCTTTCTTATAACAAAACCAGGTTTTGTTCACTGTAGCCCCTCTGCAATGGGTCATGTGACAAATATTAGCCAATGAGACACAAGCAGAAAATACTAAGTGAGGCATCCCAGAAAGCTATTTAAAGGAGTGCCTCGGTTTGCACATTGGGTGTTTTTCCTTTCCTTTTGAAAATCATGAGGTGACAAACTTGAGGAGGGAAACTTAACTGAAAAGCAGAAAGAGCCTGGATTCCTGGTGTCAACATGGCTACCTCATCCTGGTCCTAGGCTTTCCACCACAAGACTTGTGTTACGGTTTGGATGTGAGGTGTCCCCAGAGCTCACGTGTGTGACAATGCAAGAAGGTTCAGAGGAGAAATGATTGGGTTAGGAGAGCCTTAACCCAATCAGTGAATAAATCCCTGGTGGGATTAACTGAGTAATGACTAAAGGCAGGTGGAGTATGGCTGGAGGAGGTGGGTCACTGGGGCATGGCCTTGGGCTATATATTTGTATCTGGCCAGTGGAGTCTCTCTGCTTCCTGTTCAAGATGTGAGCTGCTTCCCTCGGCCACTCACTTCTGCCATGATGTTCTGCCTCACCTCAAGCCCCCAGGATTAGAAACTGCTGTCTATGGACTGAGACCTCTGAAACTGTGAGCCCCCAAATAAAATTTTTCTCCCCTAGACTTGTTGTTGTCAGGGCATTTAGTCACAGCAGCAAGAAAGCTGACTAAAACACTTGGTGTTACATGAGAAAAATAAAACCGCTACCTGGTTAAACCCATATAACCCGGATACACCATCACCCACCAGATGTAATCCCAATTGACACAATACCCTGGGACTAAAGCCCCACCTTCCAGTGATCATAATCCAATGATCACGGAGTGCTCTCTGGCTTCCTTGCCAGTAAACAGCCCCTACTGTTGTCCTATTTATCCTTAAATGACACCTTGGACATCACCTACCACCTCCTGTTTTCTTATTTCTTTCCTTTTCACTGCACAGGGGTGAGGTAGAGGCCAAGAGGAGGCTGGGTTCATGGTCAGAAGGTGTGGTAAGCATGTGTGCCGAAGCACAATAGTCGTGCAGGTGTTCAGCCAGGCTGAAATGACTAAGACTCGCAGTACACCAACCTGTCCAGGGGCGATTCTTCCCTAGAATTCTTCTCCTCCAAGTGAAATCCCCCCTTGCCACAGAGCTGTCTGAGCCTGGCTTGTACTGAACACATTTCAGAAAAGGGCAAAGGTCAACGCAGGTTCCAGGCAGAACTTTGGAGAAGAAACTCCCAGGACATTGGGTGCAAAGTTAATCAAGGAAATGTTCCCAGAGAACCTGCAGCCAGGTGTGTCTTGGGCCAATTACATCACATTTCCATCCCCCACTCCTTTCAAAACACTGAACAATGATCTCTTTATTCAAGTACTTAAGGATGGTCAGCTTTATTATCTCTCATTTTTTAGAGAGTAAGAGAAATTGAAGTGCAATGTGACTCGCCCTATGAAACAACCTAATGTCTGTGCATTTTCAGCTTCTTTACCTTTAAAAGGTCATTTCCTCAGAGGCAGAAATCATGGCTTTGGTAGATTTCTCTTTCATCCAGAGCATGGGCTAGTACAGATCATTGAAAAATATCATATATGCAGATGAAGGTATTACATAAGGCAAATATGGTCCAGGGCCCAAGATGAGCCTCAGTCAAGATGGAGGAAGGAAAAGCTTTGCCACCATGCTCTGTCTCACTGATGGTCTGCATCGAGAAAGATCTGCTGGCCGGACCCTCCATACTGGCCCCACTACATCCCTGGCAGTGTGCTTTGGTTAGGAAGCTGCCATTCAACTCAACAAAGTTATCAACCTGCTGGGAATTCCCTGCAGAAGACCCATGTCATGGGAGTCTGTAAGCTTCTAAGAAGGTAGAAGTCAACAGAATTTGCCAGAAGATTCCAAATGCTAGCTCATATGCTCAGGGTTACTCCCAGAGAAGAGCTCTCTAGTGTGAAATTGGAAAGATTTGTCCATGTAGCCCATGAGCCATCCAGCCCAGGCCGAAAAGTTCTGCTCAGGATTTATATTCAACTCAGGTTCTAAAGTAGGAAGACAGTACTGTTTATAAATGACATGAATCCAGGAGAAAACAGGTAGAATTTGTTTAAAAATACCATGCTGCCTGCCCACACCCCAACTCAAGCCTGTTGTTGGTCACTTTCAGTTAGGCAGAAGAAGTAAGTTCAAGAGATCTACATTAACACTGTTAATGCTTTGTAAACTTGAAAATTGCTAAGAGTAGATTTTAAGTGTTTCCATCACAAAAATAAATACGTTTGTGAGGTAATGCATCTAAAGAAGCGTGATTAAGTCACTGCACAATGCATATACATTTTATAATATGGTGTTGGACACCATAATTTGTATTAGTCAATGAAAAAAATAAACACTGAAAACTTATTTACTGAATAAAGTGATATTAAAAAAAATGTAAAATTTATAAACAAAATCACACGTGTATGACAATACTCCTAGCAGATTGGAAGCTTCCTATAGAAAAGTAAAGAAGATGCAGGTCCCCTGGGCACCTCCTAGCTTCCCAGTTCAAAGGGCTGCAGAGGTATTGATCATAGCCCCCTTACTCTCTCCCCTAATGGAGGAAGAGGTGGTCAAGGCCCAAGAGGGATCCAGAGTCAGGTTCTAGATGATCTCCAGATTCTTAGTTCTTGCCAATGAAGTGTCCAGGGACTAGAGGGGTGGGGGGTGCATTAAGTGTTTGATGACTAACACACAGGGTATATTTTGGGAAATGCTGGCTTTGACCTACTTAGGCAGCCAGAGTGTGGAGAGGTTCAAGAGTAGGTGTTGAGGCCTACACCTATTTGAGGGAGGAAGAGCTGCCCGGGGACCTGTGAAGGACTCTGGCCACAGCTCAGAGAGGTGACAGGATTTCTGTCAGTTTGGGGTTCCTTCCTCACTGCTGTTTTCCTGATGTTCACATCATTATCAGCTGAGCTGCAGCTGGGCAGGGCTCCCTCCCAAGCTTCCCTGAGGTGTGAGGGTCATGCTGCTGTGTGGGTGGTGAATGCTCTCTGCTCGGCTGGGGGCAGCTGTCCTCTCTCCCTGGAGCCCCACAGGTATCTGACAGCCTCCTCCCAGCCTCTGCCCTGGCCTCACTC